ACATACTAGATTTTTTCCCTAAGATCGGTTGACATACGTTCCCAATTTAGATATGGTATCAGGTTGTTTTTTAAATTTAAGTTAATTTTTATGATTTTGCTTTAGTTGGTTAGAACATCTATACCTATTTCAGTCTTTAAACAAGTCGTTATATTGGACATCTTTAAATTTTGCAAGACAGTCGTAATAAAAAAAACGAATATTAATTTATATTGAGATATGTTGGTCTTAGATCAACATAAATATTAGGTGTTTCACATGAACTAGAGCCGTTACAATAACTTCAACACACCTTTAATAGATGACATATTAATATTTTCTATTATTCTTTAAAAAGATGTCAGGAGTTCATCTGTTTAAAGAAGAGTATCTCAAGAGTTAGTGGTGGACGATGTTGACTAGCTGTCTTTCTTCTTCATTATCAGTTCAAATATAGGGACGGCTATGAGCTGATAAGGCTTTTGTAATTTTGCTCAAAACTTTTAATACCAACAAGTAAACAAACAAACACAATTTGGCAATGTGCTAATACAGTACAGTGTGAAAGTGTCCGGTAAAAATTTAAAAATTTTCAACAAAGTGCCCAATGAACAAGATATATTAATGGATTTCTATAAAATGATATTTGACACTATATATACATAATACTTATTGAACATGTTTAGATATAGTTTCTGAGTTTTAATAACAAATGTATAAATTTTAGTAATAAAAAAAATACGCAATTTAAATTTGAAATCAGTAATATACTAATATGAATGTGAACGAAAACATCAAAAAGCGACCGTCATGTTTTAATATGTGCAATACGCTTCACTTCGTCCTTTTATGCATATTTCACCATAAATTGGATTATTATTATTGAATATAAAGAAATTTTCAGATGGGCTTTAGCCCCCAGTGGCCCAACAGTAAGTCTGAAGGCTTATAACGTTAAAGCCCCCCTGTGGCTTAGCAGTATATCTGCAAACTTATAACTCTAGAAACCGGGTTTAGATACCCGTGGTGGGAAGAGCACAGATAGCCCATTGTGTTACTTTGTGCTTAACTTCAAACAAACAAACGAATCAATGACCATGGTGGGCAAAACACAGATAGCCCAATAGCTGAACCATAAACAAAGAAACAAAAGATGGGCTTTTTTGTTTTCTTTAGGTATGACGACAATAAGCTTCTTGGATAGCTAACTGTACTTTCCAAAAAATATAAATAGAACTTTCTTCTTATAGAAACTGTCATACAATACTTTGTTTAAACTAAAGTATTTCTAGAAGATTCAATGAGTGTCTTTAAATCGTTGATCAGTCCATTTTCGTTGTTGATTATCTCATCTGTGGTCCACCTCTATGACAGCTGTTTGCTGTAATTTCTTCATTGTCCCATTCCTATTCTACCCCAATGACAGTATTTTGATTATTAAATACATCATCATCAGCTCACTTCAGTGACTGGTTCTGGGTTGTTAACCTCGTCATTTATAGTTCCGTAATTCTCCTTTTTTATTGATAAAGCCACACCTGATTGATTAAGTGACTGGTTCTGGGTTGTTAACCTCGTCATTTATAGTTCCGTAATTCTCCTTTTTTATTGATAAAGCCACACCTGATTGGTTTAAGTGACTTGTTCTGAGTTGTTAACCTCGCCATTTATTATTCTATAATTCTCCTTTTTCTATTGATAAAGACACACCTGATTGGTTTCCGTGACTGTCTTTCGAATGGTGATCACCATATCGCCATTTATAATTCCGTAATTCTCCTTTTTTATTGATAAAGCCACACCTGATTGGTTTCAGTGACTGGTTCTGGGTTGTTGACCTCGTCATTTATAGTTCCGTAATTCTCCATTTTTATTGATAAAGCCACACTTGATTGGTTTAAATGACTGGTTCTGGGTTGTTAACTTCGCCATTTATAAGTTCCGTAATTCTCCTTTTTTATTGATAAAGACACACCTGATTGGTTTCAGTGACTGTCTTTCGAATGCTTATCACCATATCATAATTCAATTTACTGACTGTCTATTCAATGATGGATGTTTCCATTTATATAGTTCATTCCTGTTAATGTATATTTATTTGTTGATGAAGCCACCCTAATCCCATTCAGTGGCAATTTTTTACCTGGCTCACATCTATATCCGTATGAATATTGAGTTACTGATTACTCCTGTCCAGAACTCACTTTAATAACCCTGTTTAATCACTGACTAGTAGTGTTATATAGACGGTTAATCGTATTTCATAAGAATGATTTGCATATGCTAATGCAGTGGTAACATGTTTCACCCATGTATATTTGGATCACGGTGAATTACCGACCATCTGAGAGTGAAATTACGTCACAGATATACGTATAGCTGGAGTATTATGTCACAGCCATTTCCAAAGAAAGATATTCGCATAGAGAGATTATTAAATTATATAAAGCCTAAAGACACCAAATTTCAAATAACCTTCAGTGTTCTCTATAAAGATCAAAATATTCGCACAGCAGAGTGCTTGTGACAACAAAGTGCTCTAAAATCACACCCAATCTTATTTTGGGCCAATGTCCTTATCTACGAAATGAAGATTAAGATTACAAAGGAGAAGTCTCCGTCTCTAAAACTATGTTATGATAGTAATGGTAACAAGATAATAAGCACCGAGTTGAAGATGATGAGGACTCACTGGTAAAACTTTCACGTGATTCCAACCATTTCTGAAAATCAACAGCTGTTTTCGTGTAAAAAACAGTCAAGGATACCTGCATCATAGAAAATTCATTTGACCACGCAATACAATGCAGCTCCAATGTACCTTTGGTGAGCTTAAATGTAGTTTTGGAAGCCAATTTCATGTTGAGTGAACAGTCTGTGAGAAGTTTGTCAATATACATGGTCACAGAATTACCTTTCGCAGCAACTGTTATAATGATAATTACAGTGTTGGGCAATATTGCATAATCATAACCACCACAGTGAGCACGATCAACGATAGAGGAAGTAGTTTCCAGGGCAGTACGAGACCTGAAACGTCGTTCTCATAAAGTATAAGTGCAATTAACGCTCTGTCTTTCACTTACTTATTAAGCCCACCAGTAACTCAACGGCAAACCTGATTGCTTATAATGCTAAAAACTGGGTCTAGATACTCATAATGGGCACAACAAAAACAGCTCATTGTGTAACTTTGTGCCTAATAATAAACACACAAACTGGCTTATTTTAAAAATTGCAGTCTGTAATTAGTGATTGTTAGCCTTATATCTGTCTCTCTTTCTCTCTAATTAATGCTTAATAATGGTATAGTTGGCCTGCTTTTAATATTTTCTAATCAGATGAATAATTTTATATCTGGCTTATTGTAATACTTGTCTTTCTGAACGGAAGTAACAATCTTATATACATGAATCTCTTCAAATTTACTCTTTCTTTTCAGAAACTAATAACATCAATTTAGATGTAGTTTGATTAGGGGACCGAATGAACAACAGAGAACGATAGAACTATAAATACGATTTTTTTGTATCAGATTTTTTTAATGTGTTGACAGTCTTGCTTCTTGAACTCAAATGAATTCCTAAGGTTGTTAAATAGTATCACACAGATATTCTCGAAGCATATCAAAGGCGGAGGGAGACTATGATCAATAAATAAATGCCTCTCCTTTGACGCCTCTCCCTCCCGATGGCCCAGTTTGAGCGTTTATAACGCTATAGAATTCGGTGTTTTAATCGTGCGTCGGACACAGCACAGTAGCCCATGGTGCAGCTTCGCTCTAGAGATAAAAACAAACAAACATTGGGGCAATAATTATTATCCGTCGTACACAAATTTACATCCCTTGTCCACAGGAAGTTTCTTACCAAGTTCCTTTGGTGTTCTGGTTAACCTTGGTGTATTTAATCACAGAGCTGTCTATGATGTTTCCATAGTTTGGCCAATATCGTTTCTTCTTAAGCGTCTTTGACCTTGTACTTGAAACTTGTCTTCTGACAACTTTATTAATGCAAAAGTATAACTAGATAACAACAGAGTATATGATCTCAATTCTCTTCAGAATCGTTCAAAATCTTCTTTCAATAAAACTTTTGAAATTTAACCACTTATAATTTATGAGTATGTTTTATCATATTTTATTACGTAAACTCAATAATTAAGATTAATCCCAGTCTTTATCTGTCGTACTAGGCCTTCCTAATTATAAGTATTATAATCGTCCATCTTGATTAATTCTTAAACCGTTTGTTTTTGTATTACTTGGTTGTGAAGTATAACCCCAAGTGTTTAAGTTAATGAACCTGAACTATGGAATTAAAGCTCAAAGCCTTCATAATCACCGCAGCGAATCTCAAAAAAAAGAAAGAAAAAAAGACCGACCAAAAAATTATAAGAAGAACAGAATTCAGAACTGAATAAAAATGATTGAGTTTGGTGTTTAATAACAGTTACTGTTAATGATTCAGACCTTAATATATATCCCTGTGTAACTCATCACTGTTGACATAGCACATTGCAGCCACGGTAAGGACAAATTACAAATATTGTAATCACACTCACATAGTTAGCCCCTTAACACCTCCTCCGGTCTGAAATTTCCACGGCCTGCGGTCAGGCAATGTGCTCTAAGGTCAGGGTACGTTCTTGAAGACGCCCCCTAGGTTACAACTAGTTGGTTAGAGGAAAGCTTCCTGCAAAAACTAAAAGGTGAAAGTTTTCCGGTAGAGGCGCCACACTTCTAGAAGGAGCAACTGAAATACCGGTAGTTCCAGACGTCGACGCTCTCAAAAAAAGTCGATGTCGTCTTCGCATATTAATAAGCGGGAGCTTAAGAAGATCAGTGCGGAGCAGACATAACTTTCAAACATACACTAGAACTTAGTATTAGCTGTTCGATAGTTTAGATTATTAATCCAGTTTTTAATCATTAGCTGAATTACTTGAACTAAAAACAGTGCTAACGTTTGGTATATTAAATAATTACAAAATATTAAAGCACCAATTTTTTTAAAGAGATTATGGCTCAAGTTTGGATCGAGGGCTGAAGACATTTGAGATTAGTAAATGACATTGGCTCAAAACAAAGAACATTCATCCTCTCGAGCACCTTGCTTTTAACATCCAAGTTGGCGGATACTCTGTTGACGAAACCCAAGTTAAATACGGTAAGAACGTTGGAACATATTATTTTGTTATTTCAATTAACAATTTCTGTGCATTTGTAAATACTGAGTTCTGACATTCTTATATTGCTTTCAAGTATATCAAAATAATTTATACTTACTTATCATACATATGGATATCAAGTAATTTTGTTCGAAGGTTAACTGACCAGTCAATTCTTGAATCACTCGATATGCTAAGGTTTTCTATATGACGTCGTTAAAGAAGAATTTATGAAATAAATACTACAAAAGATCAACTAATATTTGAATGTACAGCTAGTATTTGTATCTACAACTACTCACTAAACATTTGTTAAATTTAAATACACAAAGTAATTTTGAGTTTGTAAAATAAAATGCGTTCGTTAAAAATGAGTATATGCAGTTTTTAAAACAAAATAAAATATACTTTAATACTATATTTGAAAGTACAAATTCTGTTTAGTACAAAACTAAGCTATGAAGCGCGTATAGAAAAACTTTAATAAGTTCTCCAGGAGAACAATTAATCAAGTATGCTATTTTTGTCGTTTGTTCTTAGCAATCGATGTGTTCGAAGGTAGTTTGGTAGTAAACAGGATTACGACACTTAGAATGAACAATATTGTATATTTATTTAAAGAGTGACAAAAATAAACGTTTTGGAATTCTATAGATGTTGAAGGCAGAATCTGTAGAATTTCGAAACGTTGATATCTGTGCTTTTTTAAACAAATAACATTGTTCGTCGTAAGTGTCATATCACCCCTTTTAAAACAAATAACGTTGTTCGTCATAAGTGTCGTATCACCCCTTTAAAACAAATAACGTTGTTCGTCGTAAGTGTCGTATCGCCCTTTTTAAAACAAATAACGTTGTTTGTCGTAAGTGTCGTATCACCCTTTTTAAAACAAATAACGTTGTTCGTCGTAAGTGTCGTATCACCCTTTTTAAAACAAATAACGTTGTTTGTCGTAAGTGTCGTATCACCCCTTTTAAAACAAAGAACGTTGTTCGTCGTAAATGTCGTATCACCCTTTTTAAAACAAATAACGTTGTTCGTCGTAAGTGTCGTATCACCCTTTTTAAAACAAATAACGTTGTTTGTCGTAAGTGTCGTATCACCCCTTTTACAACGAATAACGTTGTTCGTCATAAGTGTCTATTACTTTTATATTTGTTTTTACATTGTAAGAAGCTTTACCAGTGAATTTCATAAAATCTAAACAATTAGATCGTGAGTTATACGCTTTAACAATTTTATTCATCCTGTGAGAGAATTTATGACAAGCCTTACCATGCTGTCATGAAATTTTGCATGAAAGAGTAATATTAAAAATGTATAACACTTTTAACTAGAGGATGTTTATTTCACTGCCCCTCACTATATACTAATAAATCAGTTATAAATTATTTATCTCTTCCAAAGAAGTAATAAGTATACCATATTCATACCCTGCAACAAGTCAGAAAATTTAGATAAACCGACAAGGAATGTTTCTTCAGGCATTCCCTCTTCCCTCTTATTATGTTGAACTAGTTTTGTTTACATCAGTCCCTGAAAGGTTTTGTTTGTTAACACCTAGAGGGGGGATAAGGCAATGCCCTGAGTGAACTTCCATTTTTCGCGAGTGGGATGGGGCTTATGGGTTCTTCAGGTTATGCTGTGACATAACCTTTGAATTATAGGCGTGTTCTTTAAGAACTTGATTTTTTTCCCATTGGAAAACTAAAATCATGTTACTTCCTTTCTAGCGATACTTCCAGGTTGAAACTAATTGTTTGTGAAGCGTTGTCCTGAAGGAAGTATAACAAAACGAGCACAGGTTCCACACTTCGTTTCAGGTTACGTGTTAACATGACTACACACCATCTGTTCTCATAACAATTACACAATGTACGCGCTGCCTTTTAGAGTTTGAAACATTTTGCGATAAGCTAATCTCAACCATCACTAAGTTGACATACTAAGTTCGCGCCCCTAGGTAGAAACGTAAAAAATTATGTTTTATGTGGTATATCCAAGGCTGCTGTAACTGCATAGTTTTCCTTATTCAAAATCAAATATACATTTTTTGCTCTCTTTTTCTTTTCTTTTTACAAAGTGTATGTTTTTTCGCAGTCGTTAAGCGGAAACCAGAGAAAGAACGTTTTAAGTGATATATCTGATACTTTGGGCAATTGTTGTTTTTAATCTCACAGGAAATGTTCGTAACAATATACGTATCAATCTAATATTTAAATGTCATTGGTTGGATGCCTTCGAATATGCTATTTACCATAAATTTGCTCTTTAAATTATTATTAATGTAGATCTTTTAATAGATGCACGCGTATACATATACACACAAACACCCACACAGCATTTCCATTTTCTTTAAGAAGGCGTAATAACATCTATTCCTAGAAAGTCACAGATTGAAGTTTAATTATGATAAATTGCTAGTTTTAATAATAGCTATGTATATGGTCATGTAAACTATCATATACTTTCATGAAATAAGAGTTGCGAATATTTAATGTATTAATCACAGTGTATTCAAAGTACAATGAATATTTAAACACTGCGTTATCGCTGGAAGTCCACTTACAATGTTTGCAAGTGGTTTAGAAGTTGTGTGTAATTAAGATGACTAAAATAAGTTTGGATGTGTTCCAATCATTCACTCAGATAATATCAAAGATAATTATGTAACGTCAGGTTTGCCTTTTATTAAATGAAATAACACATTTGTTTTGTCAAAGAAATTTTCTTATGTTTCCTTCTAGCATGCAAATTTCCATAAAGTTTTGTCAGTTAAAGAAATAGTTAACTTTTGTCCGAAAATTCAACACTCGTTAGTTATAATTTTTAAATCATAAAACAGGGAAACACTAACATTTTCAAACCTTAAAATTGGAACCCCTTCCTTTTTTTAGGGGAAGCTATAAACAACCAATTATGCACATAATGAATATCATGTGAAAAGGATATTTTTACTTAAGTTATTACTCTTGCAGATATCACTGTATTGAGTGATTTTGGTCGAAGAACTTCTTATTCACCAGAAGCTTTCTGTAAAATTCAGAGGAACTGTCATTCATGTTCATCTTTCAGATAAATATTTTACGACTTGAAAAGCGACAGAATACAGCATGCATCTGTCTCTTTCTTTTGGCAGGTGCAAATTCACGTGCTTAGTCAAATCTTCATTTTGACGTATCGAATAGAGACATCATTTCGTATGCTGCAGCCTGTCTTACAGCCAACTTAAGTGAAAGTAGTAAAGACTATATTAATCATTCTGAGATGTGTGATGATTTGCTACTGAATAAAAGAAAATTATCGCATCTGTTAAATCATAGTTATCAGAGGCCCAAAGCACTGAATACAAATATAAAAAAAGTTACAGATTACTGACAAAAATTAAAACTGGGACATGAACATTTAGGCATCCCAAAAGGATCTACTCAGACACCAAGACAACATTCCAAAATCCTGGGCTGTCCGAGAAACCGGAACGTTTCGTCATCTTAGTTATAAACACAGAGAAAGCGTTTCGCGAGTGTATAGTTCTGTTTTGCTTTAAAAAGCTTTCCTTAATATTAAACAAAACAATGGTGTTCTTTGTTGTCAGTAGCACTAGGCTTATTCAACGGAAACATTAGTCATAAATGTGTGATAAAAGAAAAAAAAAAACGCCAAGAATATTATTTTAGTTGTTTGGTTCTAAGTATCACTTTGTTTTAAATCGTGAAAGCATAACAAGGGTATACACGACCTTGGCTTTAGCAATAAATACTGGATTGCGAAACGGGCCAGTTAAATGTTTCAGATTATTTTTGGTGTTTTATTTCCTTTAGTTGCGTTATCATTTACGAAATCACTGACTCAAAAAGCAATATAAATGACAAAGTGCATTAAAAGAACAATTTAGGTCAAGTCAAGGATGAACACAGTAATGTAATATATATATATACAACAAATTGAAGTTCAATATAAACAAAACAAAGTGTTATGATGTTTTACGCATGCGTTAAATTACTGGTATCACAGCAACCTTGTGTGGTGCGTGTGTCGTTTATCGGGCTTCTATTTTATGATTCACTGGACAGAGGAGACAAAAAGGAAAAGTTTACACGAGTTTCATGACTTCGACACATATTTTACTTGTTGTTATATAGCTAAAATATTTAAAATTCTTTGACAACAAAAGTGCACAGAGGTCAGTGTTTCGAGGCTTGGTGGTTAGGGCACACGACTTGCGATCTGCGAGTCGTGGGTTCGAATCTTGTCACCGAAAATGGTCGCTCTTTTAGTTATAATTTGACGGTCAATGCTACTTTCGTTTGTAAAAGAGTAGCCCAAGAGTTGGCGGTGGGTGTTGTTAACTAGCTGATTTCCATCTAGTCTATAACCTAGAAATTAGGAACATCTAGCGCAGGTAACTCTGGAGTAGCTTTGTTGAAATTCAATAAACAACCAAACAACCAACCAACCAACCAACAACAATCGATGTTTCGTTGATTATATCGGATTAAAAAGTATTTCTTCAATACATGAGGTGTAGCTTTAACCATAGCAAGTGTTGTTTAGAACATCTTAAGTTAACGAAATCAAATCTCGCCTACCTCCACCCCAACCTACTAGATACAGTACAGAATAACTGTATTATCCCACAAGCTCTCCTTGACACGTGAGTTAACGACGTACACTAACCGCGACTTTAGAAGAGTTATTTTCGTTTTCGTTGAATAACACTACTCTGTCTAAACTAAAGGAATCTCGGACTCTATAAAAAAAAAAATAGTTTATGCCACTTGTCAGCGGTGCTTAAGATAACTTAACATTTAGTTTGCTACTGTACTCAGATAAAATGTTATGTTTGTGTATAGTGTAAATGCAATCTTTAGCTTTAGCTTAACCTAATGGTTAGAAGTCAGAAGGCATTTCACAAATTTATTTTATTTTTTCTCTCTTCCTCATATTATATCACTGGGTTTCATAACCAGACCTTAGGCTGGTATGGAGATGCTGACTGATAGGGGGTTAGAATATTCATAACTTTGTAGACGTTATAACAACCTCTTAATGTTTACTTGAATTAAATAAACGTTTTCTATCTGTTAAACTCTAAAACACTTTACAATGTGCTAATTATTTGGTTTACCAGCGGTATGTTTAAGAACTTACAACACTAAAATCCAGGGTTCGATTTCCCGCAGTGAACAATGTGCAGGTAATGCATGTGCTGTAACGACTCGCAAAGACATTTTTAGTTCTTAGAAAAAAAAGAAAAACAGTCACATTTTTCTTTATAGCTTTGATATGTTTGAAGTATAACACTAGGAAATCAAATACCATACACATACCACTGGACAAAAAAAAAAAAGTCGAATTTATCACTAAATAAATGCAATCTGATGATAATATAACCATGAACCACTAGTAAAACAAAGAGCAGAAAATTCTGCTTTAACAATGTTAGGAATCACTCAAGCTAAGCACGATAAACTGGGAAAACACATTATGGTAACTCAACCTTTTGGGGAATGTTCGACACTTGACAGAGACAGAAACTTCGACAAAAAAAACTTAGCGCTATTGTATTATGTTATTAGTTTACGATTTCTCGCAGAAATTGTCTTGAAGAGAATATTTCAACCGTGAAAACATTGACGTAAAATATTTTTTCTGCGTTTTTGTAAGATCCTGTTTAAGAGAAATAGCTATTCAAACTAACTAGCCATGATTTCGACATCACGATTATTCCTTTCTTGATTAAGCAGTCATTAAATCAGTTAACTCGAACCTTGTTTTTTTAATTTATAAAAAAAACATTTTTAGTCAGAATTAATAGGTTAAAGTAACCTAATGTTTTTATACAAAATATATATATTTGAAAAAAAGGTGTGAACATATAGTATTTAGCTCATTTAACCCTGCAGAATTAACTTGTGTAAAGAATGAATTTTTGTTTGTTTACGGGTATTCGCGCAAAACTATATTCAATTCGTTATGATTGAAAATAATAAATACTGAAATATTTCGTTTACAACGATATACCTCTGGATTAATATATCAAGATGTATTGTTTTATTTGCCGCTAATCCTCTGTATTAAATTAAGCACATTCCGAGTTATGAATATGATAGAATAATACTTGCTATAAAATCATATAACAGGCATTCAGTATGAGATATAGAGGTACATCAGCGTCTTAGAATACTATTCGTAATATGTATTTTAATTTTGTTTGGTCTATCTGGTTCACTTTTGAAATAAGTAAACAAGAAAAGCTTTATCGCCAAAACATTATTCTGTTACTAGTAAGTCAATATTTAGTATTACAAAAATACCATGGGATAGCACAAACCTTTAACGAAATTTTGGCAAAGTGTTAAGTAAAGTTTACATAATAACTTTTACAAGTCAAATGAATAAGAATTTTGTACGTTATACAAACAAAATTACACTGACTTGCATATTACGGAATAACTAACTAGATGTACTTCCGCAGGGTCTCCAAAAGTGTTCTGTTTTAAGAATAACTAAAACCAAAATTGAGAGTAATAAATATTCTTATTTATTGTTTTTCAAGTTCATATGTCATGCTGTGTAGCACTTTGCGGCAAACCAAAATGATTACTTCTGCCGTTGTAATGTTATTTACAGCGATAAAAATATATGTGTATTTCACACTTTTTTAATGTCATAATTTTTTTTATGCTAGGAGAGGAACATGGTGTTAAGTTCAAAGTCCTACCTTCCAAAAGTGGTGGAGCAACTGGTGCTTTTTGTGGTAGGTAATAACAAACTGAGGTTAATTTAGTCACTGTGTGTGTAGTGGAACGGAATTCAAAAACTTCAAAGGATCATAACAACCTCAGATTGAAGCTTATTTTTCCAAACATTACACTATTTTAGAATTAATTCAATGAGGAGTTTTAACCAGGCTTTTGTTTCATTAAACATAATACTAGCATATTGTAAACCTAATTACATAACTCTTAATTTTGGTGTAAACATTGTTTGTGGAATAGTTATAAAGGTGGGCATAAAAACAAGAGGTAAAACAAGCGAATTTACCCCCACATGAAATGTCATAAGGTGACTTAAATGGATTGATGAAGCTAATGTAGATCCAAATTGTACTTTTTAACTGCTCACGGTATAGCTATTTTTACGCTAATTTGAGCTTAATGCGTTTCATATTGTTACGACAGCGGAAGTCACGTGACGCTGGAAACACGTCATGAGATTCTCGAAGGATCTTGACTTTTCCTGGCAACTCTAATCTGTTCTAGGCGCCCTCTATCTTAATATATAAGCCCGGCAAATAAAGCGGAGATAAGGGCAGATAGATAGATATAGAGACAGATAATTGAGTCAAGAGAGCGGTAGTAACTGTAATATAAAGTGTGTGTTTTGTTATCGAGATTGCAAAGTTATTGACTGATGGAAATTCTGTGTATTACAAAGTTGTATCGAGAAAGAATAAATCTGTAAATACGTGTATTTGGCATCATTTAGCTTGTCTATCTTACAAAAGCTGTAAATACGTGTATATGGCATCATTTAGAGGTCTTTTCCGTTTGGTGGCCACCAACAGATAGTTTTGAGAATAACACCAGTAATGCAGTAAAATCGCATGATTAATAATAAAACATTATATGATATTTATTTAACAAATTCCGCGATATTAAATCAAGTATGTGGCGCAGTTTAAGACGAAGAAACAAGGGTTAATGTGAAACTCATCGCCAAATGCTTGACTCTTATCTTTGTGAATTTATATGGAGAAATAGAAACAATGATGAAGATTTATTCAAAAAATATCTCATTATTCGCTAATTAAATATCATATAATGTTTTATTATTAATTATTGTTACGTATCTGCTTATTTGTTAATTTCCCGTAGAAAGTCTTTCCGAGAAACTTCAGCGATACAAGTCCTTTCTTAATTAAAACTAATTTGTGAGATAAGACAAGCTAAAATATGTCAAATACACGTATTTACAGATTTTGTGAGATAAGACAAGCTAAATTATGTCAAATACACGTATTTTCAGCTTTTGTAAAATGAGATAAGCTAAATGATGCCAAATACACGTACTTTACAGCTTTTATAAGACAAGCTAAATTATGCCAAATACACGTACTTTACAGATTTGTGAGATAAGACAAGCTCAATGATGCCAAATACACGTACTTTACAGCTTTTATAAGACAAGCTAAATTATGCCAAATACACGTCTCTAGTTTCGCATTTAACGGCAACTCCCGCCAACTCTTGAACTACTCTTTTCTGACCGAAAAGTGATATTTTACCGTCACTCAAAAGTGCGAAGTGCGTTTTCCCGGAAAAGGATCGCGAACCACGAATCATAGGATTTACAGCCTTGACCCCTAATACTACCCAAGCCCGTCCCTTTTCTAATTTTACATGACAGTAATAGAATGTTTCAATTATAATGTTCTACTCAAACTATCTCTGAAATACGTAGCCAAAATTATATATATAAATATGCATCAGATATTGCGCTTATAATTTTAATTAAACTTTAATTGGAGTACAAAAGTGATATTATTGGTAAATATGGTCGGTACAGTCTGAAAAATTTCTCGATCTTGGTCAAGTCTAGCGTTCTTGGAATGTATCTTTTCTAACATGCATAAATATAAATACGATAAAAACATTATTTTATTATGCCTAATAGAGTTCCTGAAAAGAAACAACTTTTTGGGCCTAATCTCTACTAAATGAAAAATGAGTAACGTTAGAATTTTTAGTATAATTCGTGGATATGTGTAAGCATTTCTAAAGATGTATATTTACTTCAATGTGGATATGTGTAAGCATTTCTAAAGATATATATTTACTTCAATGCGGATATGTGTAAGCATTTCTAAAGATGTATATTTACTT